TTTTTTTTTTTTTTTAATTTCTCATTAGGAATAAGAATCTTGACAATTTCCTCATGGCATTATTATACTATTTATGTCATTTTTTGGAGAAAATCTCGCTGGAAAAGAAACCCAAAAGCTACATGGTGTAAGTAGAATTTTGAAGTGTGTTTTGTAGATTTTCAAACTAACTTTTTTGTGTAGGCTAAAGAGATGATGAAAACATTTTAAACTTCAACCTTTTGTCCGTTAATCATGATATTGTTTATTGGTCCAGTTGTAAGGGTTTGTTTTTACATTGATTTGTAATCTATACTGAAGACTGTAGTCTTTGATCTTCATCAGCAAGTACTTCACATCCTCTTTGTTTTCAGCAGTGAAAGGTTGTATTATGTGCATATTGTTGTTGTTAAGTGCCATCGAGTCAGTTGTGACCCATAGCAACCCTGTATAGGGTTTCCAAGGAGTAGCTGGGGAGCTTGAACCACTGACCTTGTAGTTCAAACGACTTTACAGTCTGGCCCATTAACCCACAGTGCCACAGCAGGACTCCGATAAATATATTATGAATATGTAGTGTAAAATTTATCATTTTATTCAATGTATGTATACAGTTGAGTAGCATTAATTAGATTCACAATGTTGTTCAACCTTCAATCTACTTCCAAAACTTTTTCATCATTTCTGATAGAAACCCTGTACCCATTAAGTCATAATTCCCCATTCCCTCATACCCTTAGTCTCTAATAACCTGTAATCCACTTTCTGCCTCCCTAAATTTGCCTTTGCTAGACATTTCATCTAAGTGGTACCATACAACGTTCATCTTTTGTGTCTAGCTTATTTCACTTATATGTTTATACATTTCTCACTAACAGGCTCATAAGTATCAAATTAAAACAAAACGTCAGTAACCAAGAATTAAAAATAAGTCATGGATAACCAAAACAACATTCTAAATCACAGAAAAAATGAAGTTTCTTAGGAGGCTTCTGAAGAATTTAACTTCATTAGGCAGAAGTGGCTCAGATCTTTGCACCCAGAACAGGAATCTGGGACTCAGAGTCCAGAGCAGAACAATGTCTCTGAGGCTTCTGACCTTTCACAAGCCATGGAACTTTCCAAATGCCCAAGCTGCCTTCCCCGTGTGGAACCAACCCAATGATTTAGTAGTAAGGAATGCTGGAGAGAGTCCTTAATTTGTTGCTGCAGTTTGTTTGCAAAATGAAAAACCCTTGTATACAACCAAGCTGTTTGAAAACATCTCATGGATAAAATATATCTCGACAGCAATTTTGTAAAGAGCCAAAACCAAAACAAAACAAGCGTCAGCACTGCTGCTTTGGTAACGCCACCAAAATACGCACCCGCAGCGTTATTTGAGGACCACATTTTACAGCTCTGCAGCCAGAGATGATGAAATGTTTCTATGGTAGCAAGCAAAAGAGCTAAAGCTAACTGTGGGCTTAGGGTTTGAGAATTGTCACTATTCCCAAATAGAAACTTACTTGACTTTGGTGGCACTTTAGTATATATTTTGAGGGTGTTTTCTCTGCTAATTCTCGGATTACTGCTGTTCCAGCAAAGACATTTGTTGTATTTATTATTTTATAGGATTGGATAACAGAGGAGGAATTTAAAAATGGACTGGAATTTACTAAAATACAGTAGTATAAGATAGATTATTTCTTAGGAAAAAATCAATTACAGAATGACAAAAACCAAACCACCCTAAACCTTAAAATTACTGATTCTGTAGCACTGTGACTCTTAAAAAAACACAACCCCCCCCAAAAAAACTCAATAGCTGTATGTGACCAGGTTTCTGAAAATCACTTGCTTTACTTACTATAATAAAATGAAGCATATTGAAGATAATCTGCAAAAAAATTAGTTCAGGGAAAAAAATATTAATTTCAGTCAAACTAGTGAGGAATAATAGGGATCATAATAGTACCTGCTTTTGAAGTTATTGTGCATATTAAAGAGATAATGTGTATTATCTTAACCCAGTGTTCAGTATGTGATACTTTACTCCTAGGAGAGAGTTCTAGAATTTAGGAAAGGGAATGTCAAAGGATGACCAGGATACATTAAATGATTTCAGATAATTAAAAGCTCTGTCTCCAGAAGAAGGAGTCTTATCTTCATTTTGTTGTTGTTGTGAAGTGTTTTTGAGTTGGTTCTGACTCATGGTGATCCTGTATAGGCTTCCCAAGGAGCAGTTGGCGAGCTTGAACTGCCAGTCTTACAGTTCAAATTGACTTTGTGGTCTAGCACATTAACCCACAGCACAACACCAGGACTCTGTCCCCATTTTACAGATGAAGAAATTGAGGCTCGTAGAGGTTCAGTATCTCACTAGAAAGTCCATGCTTCGAAAGTAATAGAGTAATAGAGCTGAGATTAGAACCCAGGTCTAATTCCAAAGTCTGTGCTTCAGCTACGTTGAAACAGCACCCCCAGACACTGTCTGTCAACTACGCTCCTTTTCTAAATTCATCCACGTACCTAGGTTTAGCATAATATATCCATTTCAGAGTTTATTAATTATAGTCTCTGTACAAAGATACAATTATATATGCAGTTTTTTAACATTGTAACATAAGCATTTTTCAGTTATTTTAATTTTCATAGTTATAATGTTTAGCAGTGGCTTTACTTTCTATGAAGCCAATGTGTGGCAATCGACTTGCCTATTTAGAGGCATTATGCATAATGGTTCTGGTGTGGTGCTGTAGAGTAAGCGCTGTATTGGTAACCACAAAATCAGGGGTTCAAACCCCCCAGCTGCTTCTCAGAAACTCTTTACAGGCTCACTATGAGTTGGAACTGACTCTGTGGCACTTAACAACAACACGTATAGCAGTTAGGGTACAGACTTTGGTACTAGGCAACCTGGATTAGATCCCATATTATATCACAAATGTCAACTCGTACAGCAGTAGCTGGCTACATTACTATTAATTACGTTTATTCCTCTGTTTTATGTATTTTAGCAGTTCCCAGTTTTTTGATAGACCAATATTGCTTTTAAATATCTTTATGCAGAAGATTTTTTTATTATTATTTTTTTTATAATCTTCCTCTAGTTGAGTTCTGAATATCAAGACTTCAAGGCTAGGTTAAATGTGTACTCTGTGCAAGTTTGGGTATTCTTGTGCTCTCGCCTCACTTCCTATCAGCTGGATGTTTCACTCTCAGCTCTAGACCTCTGTGGCTATGTCCTTGTCCATGGGATCAAGTG